TTATAGCCATGAAGATTTGTCATCGAAGTGAACTGTGACATGAGCCTCAGATTGTAGTTTATATTTCATGTATCATTGTTTTACTGGTCAATTTACAACACCTCTTCTTTAAACATGCTTTGAGGAAACTGTTGCATAAATGCGGGAAATGAAACTCAGCCTGTGGTCTGTATCAATAAATGACCAACAAAAAATAGTGATCATGAAACTAGGAGACGAGGTAACAAAAGAAGCCTGTTTCCTAACTGTGGTTTTATGATAGGTGTCATTACTGTATTTGATCTTTTTAACCATGATTTCTGAATAAGATGTTGCAGCTGATGCATTTCAGGAATCAGTGTGTTAAACTGACCAAGAGGCCGTAAATAGTAAATGAACAGGGTTTATATAACTTTCCTATACTTCACATCCATTACTTCAAATAACTGTTTACTACTTACACACTGTACTGTATTTCCATAGTGACATGAAAAAATGTGTTTCAGTTAGTGCAAAAGCAGAAGAAGAAGCAAAGAAAGCACAAGAAATAGTGTAAAGACGAATCTTTGACCATTCTTCCACAAGCGTATTTGTGAGGTCACACCCTGATGTTGGACGAGAAGGCCTGGCTCTCAGTCTCCGCTCTAATTCATCCCAAAGGTGTTCTATTGGGTTGAGGTCAGGACTCTGTGCGGGCCAGTCAATGTAATCACACCAAACTCTCTCATCCATGTCTTTATGGACCTTGCTTTGTGCACTGGTGCATAGTCAAGTTGGAACAGGAAGGGGCCATCCCCAAACTGTTCCCATAAACACACTTCTTAACCTTGTGGAAAGCCTTCCCAGAAGAGTTGAAGCTGTATAGTGTATCTCAACTCAAGTTCAAATTAAAAATTTTAAGTAATTTTCATTATAAATAATTCATCATTTTATTATAAATATGATCAGCATTATTAACTCAACCTAAGAAGATCTGTCAGTGAAGGTTCAGGTCGAGAGATGAAATTTACTACAGGTCCAGTGTGTAAGATTTAGGTGAAAGGATCTATTGGCAGAAATGTAATGTAGAATAATCCTCATGATGTTTTCACTAGTTTGTTTCATCTAAATTGTGTGAATTGTAGTTTTCTTTACCCCAGAAAAGACTCTTTATATTTAAATACTTTATATTTACATGGAGGGGACCCTCTCTACGGAGGCCGCCATGTTTTTTACATTAGTCCAGACTGAACAAACTAAACACCTTTTGAGTTTTTATGACAACTGAAGCTACCACAGGTTTTTTTTTCATGCTTGGAAGGAGAGGGTGAGGTGAGGGGTGTTCAGCTGCAACATGAAATTTCAACACTACATATCACAAAATTCTACACACTGTACCTTTAAAAGACAAAAATGCTTTTTATATACGATATATTCATACTTCTGAAGGAGAATTTCAGGGACACAAACGGTCTGAGCATCTGAGGGCACCTGGGGAAGCTGATTTGTCGAAGTGGCTCTGAGCAGATGTCAGGTTCAGGTAACCCACCTCCGCCGATCGAGACAGAGCTGCAGCGATCGAACAGTGACGGGGAGAAGTCACATTTGCCTGCTTGGTACGATGATTCTGAGTCTCATCCTGGGTTTCAGAAGGCTTAGGTGTCATCGCTCTAGAGACACAAACATTTTATGATGTTTTATTTTATCAAACAAATTGGTTTAGATCTGGTTCTGAAATGTAATCAGACCTACCTTGAAGTCTGAACACAGAGAGATGTAAAAATATG